TGCGAAAGTCTGAATCCTCGTTGAGATTCAGGTGTTCTCTACTGGAACCCCAACTCAAAACTTAGCATCTATCTTTACCTATTTACACACGCAATGCCTTCGACGTTGTTTTTCCTAGCAATAGGAAGGTCACCTGACAAATATGAATTGACCTTGTAAATGGACTAGGTCACCCTAGAGTTCTGTAGCTCTGTTGTAGAGCATCGAAGCTCTAGATCTAACTATCAGGCCAATTGCTCAAAAGAGTTGAACTCTGTCAAATCTGGTTCCTGCAAGGTTATAATGTTTATTTTGCTTGCAGGATATGTTGGTATCGTGAAAGATGCCACAGAAACTACTGCTCGGGTCGAGCTTCACAGCAGTGTAAAGACGATTTCTGTTGACAGAATGAGACTCACTATTGTTGGGTAAGTTAATAGCTTCATCATGGCTCGCGCACCTTCTCGCATCTCCGTCATTTTCAATCCGTGTTAATCTTGGCCAACCCTGGCCACCCTTGGTCATCCATGGCGCCTCTTGGCCATTCTTATTCTCTTGTGGTTCACCTTAGATGGTCCAACAAGCTGTTGGTGCAGAGAATGGGGAAAGAGATGGGCCTAAAAAGTGGGGTTTTTTTAGTCTTTTACGGTATTCGTGCCTCTCGGTGTTTCGTTCTTTAATTTTTAAAGGTTTCTGTCTAATTACCAATAATTTTCCTTGAGTGAATGAAATACCCAGAAGTAGCTTCCTTAAAATTGCTGACATTGCTTCAGTGAATCTATGCCTCTTTTGAAAGTTCTGTTGAGGCTGTGGCATCGGGCTAAATTGGAATTAGAATCCATTTTCTCCGGAATCAGTAACATGCGGGTTACTGTAATCAAATATCACCTCAATTGAGTTTTCAAGGGACAAGGTAACATCTCATCTTATTTCATTCCCAGTGGTCGACCCAGCCAAGGCAGCTCTGTCTACAAGAATACACCTATGTATGGCTCCCAGACACCAATGTACGGTGCCCAGACTCCCATGCACGGCTCACGGACACCCATGTACGGTTCTCAGACTCCAACTCATGGAGATGGTATGAGACTTAATACATAAACCTTAGAAGTGGTTTTTATTTTTCTCTTTAGATACTACGCCTTACTACCACTTTCTCCCTTTTCCTCATTGCAGGAAGTCGCACACCACATTATGGCTCAATGACGCCTTCCCATGATCCTTCGCGCACACCACTTCACGGAGGAGCTTGGGATCCCACGCAGCCAAATACTCCAGCGCGCAACGATGACTTCGATTACAATTTTGACACGTCTACCCCTTCCCCTGGAGTAAGTTATGTCCTCTCTTGTGTTTCAATTTCCGTCGGGATCCACTTCTTGTATTCATTAAATTTTCCTCTTTGGAATGGGACTTACCCGTGCTTAATAGTGTTATCGATTACATTATTTTGCGTTTTGCACCACATCTAAATCAAAGGGACGGAAATGTTATTCAAGACAAAAATGTTTCCATAGAATGAACCAAGTTGCTGTCCTACCTTTTGCACTTTAATCAAAATGAAAATGTATTTTATTTCTCGTGATGCAGGTCTATGGAACTCCTAACCCAGCCACCCCGGGGGGATACGGCGGCCCGTACACTCCCAATACCCCCGGTGGTGGTATGTACGGCTCGGAGCCCACTTACTCCCCGTACACACAGACTCCATCTCCGGCTGGCTTTGGTAATCCTATGACTCCAGGGAGTATCGCCCCAATATCACCGGCATTTAATCCACACACCCCTGGGGCTGGCATGGATGAGTCCCACGCTGACTGGGTCACGACTGATATCGAAGTGCGAATTAATGAAAACCACGAGGTAAGTTTTAAGACGCTTTGGTGTTAATTTAATCAGTATTGCGATCAACACCTGTACTAACGTCTTTCAATAAAACCAATACTAGAGGGTCATTTCAAGTGCAGTTTAAGATTTAAGGAACGTCTTTATTTTTCTGTGGGGATTGTGTCAGTGATGACTACTTTTTGGTTTCGGTTGCCATTCTGGAGAATGTTGTATTAAGCTCCTAAATCCTCTCACAAAATATTACGTACAAAACGTGGTTGACGCTCACTAGTGCAAATTTTTGTTCCAAGGACCCTCAGTTGATGGACAAAAAAGGCGTGGTCAGAACCGTATCAGGAAACACTTGCACCGTGTATTTGTACGACGAAAAACGGGATGTCAGTGTTTCAATTAACAATGTGGATCCTGGTCCACCGGCTAAGCAGGATAAGGTATTCTCTATTATATTTGCATTTACTGACGCATACTGATTTGATGTGATAACCTGAGGGTATAACTATCATACCTACCCTACGTAGATCAGAGGTTTGGTTAGGCAGTGCAAACTGTAGAGGCGCACCTTGAAAGAGACGCCCAACTCCTCGCTTGCGCAAGACTGTTCAAATGACCCCCACTGGTGTCTCTCAACGCAAACCCACCGTATATGGCCAACAGAATTCAACAGACAAACGTTTCCTATTCATTTGGTGGTTGATTTCTGCTCAGAATTTCTAGCTTGCATGGCTGGCGGGTTTTAGGGCGCTCGATGGAAATTATGGTGTAGAACGCTGATATTGATCGGTGGAATTTCGAGCTTTTTCCATCCCACGGCTTCGCCGCTTAACGTTCCAAATCACATACAAAACTGTTAGCTACACGGATGAAGGTTATCAGTGACCAATGGAAATCGTTTTTAGGACAATACAACCGGATGATCACACAACACGATCTACAGATTTAACTGAATGATATCATGTGACCCTATCTTGTTACTTGCAGGTGAAAGTCATCTTTGGAGATGATCGTGAACGCATAGGAACTCTGATCAATATCGACGACCCGGATGGGATTATTAAGATGGAACAGAATGAGCAACTAAAGATTCTACCGCTCAAATTTTTAGCTAAAATTGGACAAACCGTTTGAGCTCAAACTGATGATGATCATGTTGATTGCGCTTCCTTGTATTGCTAAATTAAGGTTGAAATGTGAAATGGAGTTTACATGTAAACTTAGGCCAGTGGAGTCAAATAGGAAAGGGTAATCTGATAAACTGTAGGTTCATTCAGAGGTCAGACTGAAATAACCAAATAAGTTCTTGCCCCTATTGGAAAGTGACATGCTAGAGTTAAGTCGCATGGTTTTTGTGTTCTCGGTCGGAGTTCCTGTTTTCGTGGTTAGAGATGATCCTTTCCAGATAGTTAAAAAGAAAACTAAAGAAAGCCTCTTAAGAAATGTAGGTAACTTTTCGGTCTTATCGATGCTTCTTTAATGAATAGTTGTCGTTCTTGTTCAGCTATCTTAATAAAGATTTCGTTCAGTGAAAGTTTTATATTATGTGTTTTACCCTTAGTTTGTCCGTAAGTTTGTCAGTAAGAATTCATTTCAAGTGAACATACTTTTACAGATGACAAGATCACGCTCTCCGAGATTCTTGCTCAGTGTTTTCCTTCAGAGCAAGTCTAACTTTCCTTTTGTGGCAAGCCTCAGAACGGTTACGAAGAAAAAACAATTTACACACCAGTAATACAAATCAAGTTTGAAGTGAGGCGGAAGGAGGAAAGGAAGGGGCGCAGAAGCCTTGGAGAGTAGGAGGTGGGAGATGATAAGGTGGGGAACAGGTCTCTTACCCTCCCCTCCCTTTATCTTCTTGGGGTATACACTGTGCCTTTACTAGAATCTTTGAGGGCGGGGAGAAGATCGCTCTAAAACAAGAGCGTGCATTTATTATTTCCGTTTTCTTTTTAAAGTGCCACTATGATCAAAATTTCGCATTGCCTTTTCCTTACACTTCTGGAAACTAGAAGTAAGAAACACTTACCATGCCAAGTTTAATCGCAAAATACTCACGGGAAGTATGATTATTTCAACCTTGTTTTTCGTTTTTGGTCGCCCGCCATTACTCAATTCAAAAATGGTCGCGTGTGGCAAAAAGAGTTGGCACTAGTTGGAGCCTTTCGGAAGTGACGTCATATGCGCAGCTCGACCTAAAAAACGTGGCTAAATTTGTATGCCATTTGGAAGAAGAATTCGAGGAAGAATACATCTTATAAAACGCCTTGAATTTCCACTGTCGAATCTCTCACAACACACGAAGCATGATGCAAAAGTGCGCATATGACGTCACAGGCCAGCTCATGCGTAAAACCGCTTCTCAGTTCAGTCACTGGCTCTCGGTTGCGAGCTGAGTAATGGCGGACGGGTTTTTCGTGAATTTCGGCCAGCTATATCAAGGCGTATTTCGCTTCCATCGACCTAAAAACTATCACATAGTACAATTCTAACCATATTTACTTGATTGGCGCTAAAAAATGTGAAAACCAGAGACAAAAATTTTCGTCGTAGTGGCACTTTAAGTTTGGTAGGGTGGTAAGTTGATTAGAAATGCTAGACGTCGGGAACTAAATGTTCAAATTGGAATAAATTCAAGTCTTTCGTAAGCTGCGAGAGCAAATCTGAGAATTTTTCGCCAAATTTCAAAACAACTTTACTTGGTTATTATTATTCTTTCTATAATTTTTCTTGCATAAAAAAAGTGATTCTCCGGTGAGCTGTTTGATTCAAGAATCAAAGAAAGAAAGCTATGATTTTTCCCGACGCTAGATTTTTCTCAGCATATGTAGATTAAACTCACTGGATATTGATATTCACTTCATTCGTCTCGTTCTTATGGTGTCAAACTAAAAATAAAAATAAACTGCAATCTATTTCAGACAAAGCTCTCTATAGAAGAGTAAATTACAAAATTGCATTTAACAATGAATAACTATTCACCAGCATAAAGGAGTTGACATTCCAAAAAGCTTAGAGCCATTCACAAAAATAATATTTAACTTGGCAGCGTCCTCTGACTGTTTTAACCTGTTAGCGGTCTGAAGAAACGATGCGCATTGGTCACATAACAACGAGGTAAGTGGGCACGTGCGCGAGGCTTCTACCGCGCATGCTTACTTCAATGTAAACAACAGCTTTGACAAAATTTATTTTATACCTGCAGTTGATGAGGTCTTCTTTGCAGTAGCGCTGGAGCTGTCGTTTCCTTTCTACTCCAATAATGGCAAAGCTGAAAACTAAGCTAGCCGTCTTAGCTGTAATAGGTGTTGTTTTAGCAGTGTTTTATCCGAAGATCAAAGCGGTATACGGGAAACATGTAAAACCTCATGCAGACATAGCCGCGAATGTTGTAAAATTCATCAAAGATTTCCACATTTTTGGCTATCATATCCCATGGAAATATGTGCTGCCTGGATTTGCTATATTTTTCGCCGTTCAACTATTTAGGGTAAGTATCATTTTTAAAATATTATACGTTCTTTTACTCTTTACTGTTACAGTTTGATAGCACCAGCTTTATAACAACATTTCTATCGAACCGAATATTTAATAACCCAAATTGAAACGCAGAAAACAGCGGTAAATCTTCAATTTCTAAGAAGAAGGAAAGCGCAATGTGGACTATTTTTTAGTGTTAATAATTTTCTCTTAAGATGGAATTCCTAATTGTGTTAATCGGAATGTTTTTATGCGGCATTGGCTAGACGAGCACCTACTAATAGCGTTGTTGAAGATTGTTTTTAGTGTTAATTAACATAATTTTCTCAACTAAGTTGTCAGTTAGTTTTCCTGACGGAAATATTTTGTAAGACTTTGCCCTGTCTTTTAAGAAGATATTCTCAAAGTAGTCGGCCTTGAGAGTTGTATGGTTAAAATTTCTTACCGGTGATTGATAATTTTAAGTTTTTCTTAGGGCAGATGTGCTGGGGTGGGGTAAGCTGTGGGGAAAAATGCTGTTTTGGAATATGTTTATTTTAAGAATTAATTTACCTCTCGAATTGAAACGTTAGCTTTGAAATTTCAAGACAAACGTAAGATGAATTAAATAAGTCTTGTTATTTTTGAGATCCTCTCATTTCTCAATTATACTTGAGTAAACCTTTGGTAAATTATTAAGCACAAACTTTAAATTTGAAGCTCAGACCACACCTTGGATTACTACCAGTGTTTGTGTTTTAGAATTCAGGGACAGGTACCTGGATACGTCCTATGGATTTGGGAATTGTTTAAATTTTAGTTAGGACAAAGTTCACTCAAATTTTGTTAATATTCAATCTTCTGGATTTGAAAAGTTCTATTAAACTTGCATATTAGAGTGATGAAAGATTTGAAAAGAAGCCAATTACATCACACCATTTTGTATGTTTTTTCTTCAGTTAGTATTTTCTCAAATTTGTACACATTATGAGTTAAGTGATATAATCAGATTCCTGTGCCAGACTTTCTTCTAGAACTGACTTGGGCTTAATTACCTTTTTTGTGACAGAGGAGACGTAGACTAAAGAAACTTGCAGAGGAACAGAAGAAAAAAGACCAAACCTTTATGACTGAGGAGGAAGGTAATTATGCAATTTTCTTTTTTTTGTTCACTTTTGTGTCTTAGTTAATAATTGCAAATCAGTTACCCTTTTATTACTTTCTCTTACTTCTGAAAAGTTGTTTAATCCTTAGATCAGACTTCTTTAACAAAACATGTATGTGATGCTAAAACCCCACCTGTAAAACCTGGTAGGGTTTGTGAAAATTTAATCAACTCTGTGAGGAGTCTTTTCTAACCGGCAAACACAAAAGGTATTTGGCTACCAATACCAAATGGTTCCTTAGTTGATAACTGTTTTGTAGATAACATTAAAAATGTTTGATAATGCTGTTTTGCAAACATTATTTTATCATTATGACTTGTGTACAAATAACTATTTTTCATTGTTAAATATGATTCTGTCATGTAAAGCCTGCATTCCCCCTGCTGTTCGTAAACATGATAAATCCCTTGTATCAGTTAGCAGGTTTGTCCAGTTGGATGCAAATTATTACGTCAAAAATGCACTATTCTTCTACTTGCTGTATCCGAAAAAATGCTGAGTATATGATATCCTTTGATTGGAAATTATCTTTGAGTCTCTTGAAATGTTTTTTGTGCGTTCATTTCTTGAGAACTTCCAATCAAACGTGTCAAGTTATTCAGAACCTCATGGTTTGTGGTATACACTTCCAACTTTTTGTAAAATATGCTTCATACTTGAGGGCGTTTATAACATTTAAATTAATACCTGTTTATATGAATTTCTTAATGCATGCACTCTTGACCAATAATTTATTTTACAATCTTTGAATTCATTAGCAGCCACAACTAATACTAACTGTTAAACAATGCTCACAGTTAAATTAAGGAGCCTTGCATGTTTAGTGCCATAGGTCACATGTATACATCCACACACTAGGAAACATTGAATGTTATACTTGGGCTTGTAGATCAGACTTGTTACTTGTGGTGGGATTTTAGCTGTTTGAGTGGCAGGGTGAATGTATGGCTTTCCTGTAATCAACTGTAACATTAAAACTGTCATTTAAAATCCATGCTTTTAACCTGCTTGTAATTTTCTCCTAATCTCCCATTGCATTTCTGCCATTTATGTTAATTTGGTCTCCTGGCCAAAGTATTAATTAATGTCTCATCTTAATCTAAAATTGAACACCTGAGTAATCAAAAAAAAAATGTTACTCTTTAAAAAAATTCTCATTTCTTGTCAGAAACACAACCTGTAAAGATGGTTGACTTTTAATACTTTTGGTAAATGTCTGAGAAAAGTTCTGTCCCTTTCAGCACGTCAAGTGCATACCACAAACCATGTCCCAAAACCTGAAAGCCTTGACATCAAACCGGCCTGCAAACCAGCAGACCTGTCAATTGTTGGAAACCGTGTACGGACATACTTGTATTGGCCTTCAACAAGTTCAGTTAATGTTTTTGAACTAGCAAGAGCTGGCTTTGTGTTTACTGGGATAGACGATATTGTAAAATGCTTTAAGTGTCAGGGTACCCTTAAAAAATGGAAGCCAGGTGATGATCCCTTGGAGGGTCACAAAGAGTTCTACCCTGATTGCCCACATGTTGTGGCTCTTGAGGAAGTAAAAAAGCCAATTAATACTGAAACCCAACTGGAAGACCTGCTAACTGTGTGTAATGGAGTAAGCCATCGTCTGCAGCAATTGCGTGCGATTCAGAGTAAGGCAAGTGGAGTAGAGCCAGGTATGGAAACTGCCTAAGTATATTGTGTTAACTCCAGTAATGCCCTGCTATTGGCAACTGTGATTAGTGATCCTGGACAAAATTTCTTGTAGTTCTGCCAGCAAGGGTGTATCAGAACTGGAAAATATGGTAGATTTTGTTGCTGATCGTAATCTAAGCTCTTCTTTTCCCACTAGAGGTGGGTGAAGGGGAGAAGAGGATTAAAGAATGAAGAAAATTTTTTCTCTCAAACTTTTTTTTTTTTTTTTCATTATTAACCAACTGTTAATTTTTTGAGCATGAATTCATTATTCTACAGCAAAGAAACATCTGACAGAGTTGCAGAAGAGGTTGGACACTACAGAACGCACCATGCACCTTGTTATGAAACAAATGGAAGCTGTGACTAAGTGTCTGGCAAAGACACTGGCTGACGATCCAGCTATGAGTGGCGATAAATCCTTAACAGAAATCACTGAGGGACTTGTCAACTTAAAAGAAAGCAATGTTTGATGGGATTCATTCTGTATTCAAGCACTACAGAGCACTTGCACTTCTTAAAGTTCCCTTCACTGGTGAAATGGCCTTTTTAGGAAATGACTGTAGGCATGTACTGTGATTACCTCACATGGCAGAGCTCTTTCATTGTTATTAGGTGCAACCATGGAATTTGAACAATCATTGTGCAAAATGAATTTTCCTAAGAACTTAGGAATAATAGCAAGTAGAGATGTCCATAAGAACTTGCTAATTGTAATAAAAATCAACCAAAAAATATTTTGAAGAGTTTCAGGATGGCCTCTATTGATGATTAAAATTAATTTTGAATGAAAAGGAACCTTTTTCTGCACGGAGTACATGTTTCAAGCATTTTTTGAGTTACATAAACCCTTATTAATAGGAAAATAAACACAAAAGAACTTATGTAATTTCAAATAATTGATTATTATTAACTTGTTGAACATGAAATGAGGATACTGGCTGTCCAAATTTGTGCAAATTTAAAAAGATTTAAATGACATCAAATGGGTATTGTTAGGTTTTTGTTAGTTTTAATGCATCACAGAGTTATCTTACTATTTATTTTGAGTTATCTTATTTATGCACAGCAGTAGCTAAGTTATTTATTATCTAGTATGAGTATAGATTAAGCAGCTTATTGAAAATAGACATCTTATGAGAATCAAACATTATATAGATATTATTATCAATATTAAATATAAGGGAGATAACTAGAATTTTACCCTTAATAAGTTTTGCAAAATTTTTAACCATTTGCCTCTTAGATTTTGTCATAAACCGTAGGTTCAGGTTTTTTATTCAAATGATATCTAATTATATGGCCATGGTTTTCTCAAAAAAAGTGATTTATAAAGATTATTTAATCTGCTCTCATTGATTGCTGGTAGTTAAAGATTTCAATTTTTGATCCAGATTTTAAATTCTAAATTGATGTACAGCTGTTTCAGTTCTGTTACATTTTCATATTTATCTTAAAAATTGCTGGTTTTGGGCACAGACATTTTTATGAAAATAAAATATGTTTAAAATATATGGGTTTTCTGTGACTTAAAGAACATTGTTAATATGCAACTCCCTTTTGAATTGTTTATCTGAGTCATAAATAACAATCTCGTGCCAGGGTTTGTGGGAAAAAGCTGTGGGCTCTTTCACTGCCAAGATCTCATGGGCAGTTTTCCTTCCTGTCAGCCTTACACTTCTTATGCTGGTAGTTCTCTGAATTTGGTATTGGATCAACTAATGGATCTTTGTTTTTAATACTCACCTGCTTGATATTCTATTGATGTTGTAGGGAGAAATTCTGTATTGGTTATCGATGGAAGCACTTTTTTGTTAGACAGCTATATTCTGCTTTGAAATTAAAATAGTTAGGAGAGATTTATTTTGGGTCAAAGCTAATCTTTCATTCCAAGTATCCCTTCATACAGAAACGTAGATGATGGCCATATCAACTCAAATGATTAACCCCTGACTATCCTTGCTTGCTCTGTCAGTGGATATCTTTCTCACCTTACTTCTGTTTACCATTTCTTCTCACCTTTATCCCAAAAAGGTGGATTAGCTGTACACTAATTGAAAAGAGCTGATGAAAATGAAGCATGAAAACTTCTGGGAAATCAACTTTTAATGTTACTGTCTCAATTCACACTTTCTATTTCACAGCCATGCAATATATTATTTAGTTTCCTTGGTTGATTTTCATTTCCTGATTATCATCACAATAATATATATCAACTATTTGACACTCAAAAATACACTTTGATATTTCATTTTCATGCAGATAAACAAAAACACGTCATTTCTCTTGTATTACAAGTTGTAATAATATATCAAATATAGCTATTTAATTCTTTTCAAAGCTATATAAACTTTGTTGATGCAATCTAAATCAAATTCATATTTGTAAGAAAAAAAATCCAGCACTACCTTTCTGGGTTGTAGTAGATCATAGATTATCTTGGGCTTTGTTTATTGAGCAAATGATTAAGAAAGGAAGTCTAACTTACTGAATAAATTGAAACTCAAGCCCATAATGATTGAGTGTGATGAAAAAAATGAACCAGGGAAGATTAAAAAACAAAATGTCAAAAAATTCTTAAGTGGTAATTTGTTGCTAGTAAGATCAGACAACAGTTGATCATGCTCAATGTTAAAAATGTAAAATCAGGTGGATTCAAAATTAAATCAACACAATACTTTGGTTCTAGTAGAACTGTCTTGAATCTAGGCAACATATTTTAAAAAGTAGATACGTCAACATGTTAACCTTGGAAATGCTTCAAAAGCACTCTAATGATGCAAAGCATCCCACATTTTCTTAGTTTCCAACATAGCTCTTGGAATGTCACTGTAGTCCAACAAGTCTGCATTCCAAATGGCAATGCCAGTCAAATTTTCCTTTGCAGCAAAATCATACTTCATTTTCAAACTATCAGGATTATCAAACCAAACCTGATGTTTTCCACCCACACTGTCCTCATAGTTGAAAAAGTAAGACTCAGAATCTTCATCCTTCTGGGGACCTGAAGATGCTCTGCTGATAGACAGGTCCATAATTTCAGCATACTCAATCTGTCTTCCAGCAGCATCACTGCAGTTTACACCTCGGAATGGAACATGCTTGATCTTACAGATCCTGTTGTCAACAAGTTCCAAACATGGGTAATCATACCCATACCATGGTAAGCCAAGCACCAATTTCTCTCGTCTGATCCCAAGACTTAGGTAATCTTCCATTGCTGGAAAATAAACCAATGTTCTGATATTAATATAGTTTGAGTAGCCTTTGCACAATAAGAAAAAAATTTGAAATTTATTTTGATTAATAAGGGTCTGTTTGTACTAAATTAAAGCTTGCAGTCTTTTGAGTAATGTTACCCTCAACCAAGGTAATGGTGTCAAATTGGAAAAAACTGACCTTTAATCACACCTTGATTATGTAGCATAAAGGTCCTTGCTCAACATATCCGGCAACACTAAACAATATTTTGAACATATCAACGAAGTTGAAATGGTAAATTGGCCACCGTTACGATAAACAATATTTGAATGGAACCATTACGATAAACAATATTTGAATGGAAACTTTTTCTCCCCACTGACTTGAAAAAAAAAATTGGCAGAGATTTTCTGAATTGGATTGTGGGGATTCACCCTTGCCCATTCTTTCCCAAATGGAGGGGATGAGAAAGGGTACCTTTGGCCTGGGTAGAAAAAAATTGAACTGAACTAAAACCCTTCAGCCAAATGCAAAGGTTTGAAGGAGTAGGTCCAGATGCATTTGAGAACTTAAATCTCAATCCTTCTCATTCTACAGTAAGCCACAAAAATTTCCAAATAACTGAATCAGCAGTGCAGTTGATCAATAAAGATGTAGCATTTACCAGCTTTTGTTTGTTTCAAGGGCGAGTTTGCCTTTGCTACACAATCTCCAGTTTTGATCTGACTCTGCTCATCGTATGCCATTACAACTAGAAAATCCACCACTTGTGAAAGAGCTTCTGCATCATAACAGCGTCCATCAACACAGTTTGGAGACCAGGCTACATCAAAAGATATCTGAAAACACGTTCAAAAGAATGATCAAAAAGTGATTTCCAGTTTCAAGGTAGTTCTAACTTCTCTTATGTACTTCCTGGCAATGGAGTAACATTGGAACATTTTATATATTATTGCCATTATTCATAATGTTCGCTTTATAAAAGATATTATATATACAAGGCTAAAAGATTAGGGAAAAATGTTTAAACCATATGTTTTCGGCTGTTTGCCATCATCAGGGTTGAAAGTGATGATCGTCTGTACATACATATACATCTTATTGTAGTGTTCAGAGAGATGAGAATAAAGTCAATTGCCATATAACTCAACTACTTTAATGGCGGATGTACTAACAACAACAATGCATGAGGTGAGTCATGTGCTTAGCATACATCACAAAACTTGTGTATGTACATGTATGTATGTAACTTATGTATGTATGTATGTATCTTATGTATGTATGTATGTATCTTATGTATGTATCTTATGTATGTATCAACTTAACGGCCTACTCCCAGTTGGCTTGTTAGCTCAATTGGTAGAGTGCTGCACTAGTATTGCAGAGGTCAGTGGTTTGAATCCTGTACAGGCCTGAAATTTTACAGGTCTGATTTTTGCTATTGCACAAATAGCGCTCTCTACTGTGAGGATCGTGCATCATACGTATCTATAACTACAGTTCAAAATATATGAACTTCATATATTCATCGTATGTGTGTACACATGTATCTTATGTATGTATAGACGATCATCACTTTCAACCCTGATGATGGCAAACAGCCAAAAACATTAGGTTTAAACATTTTAATAATCTTTTCTTAACCTTTTAGCCTTGTATATATAATATCTCATTGTCATTATTATTATAACATAACCAGGCAATGGTGGGTTTGATTTTACTGCAAATGACTGTTTTGTTGCCAGAGCAACCTAACAAATTATTTCTTGTACCAGAACAAATGTTGTTGAGGAGAGATTAAGTAAGAAAAATGGGTACAACCACTTTTTTCCCTGCAAGATCCAGGCAGGCATTTGAAGTTCAATCCCATTTGCTCCCAAGATCTCATTGGTAATTCTCCTTTCTATTTTTCCTACCATTCTTATAACATTAGTTTTGAGAATTTGATATTGGATCAACTAATAATTCCCTAATTGTTACTTTTCTTTATTCTCGTCACTTGTCTGCTGGTCAATGTATTGTTGTTGTAAGGAGAAATTCTGTCTTGATCATTCATGGGTTTCAGAGGGTTGAGTGGAATGTTACCATGGACTAGCTCAAATTATGCTCACAAACAACTTGGCCCAGGTTGTTTCCTTTATGATTCATTTCAAAATAAATACCTGTGCATTTTTAAAGGAAGCACGGAAGGCTGTTGCTGTTTCATTAACCAGCTTTGTGAGCAGTGTGACTTCTCTGGACCTCTTAGGTATTGGTGATTCAATATCAATATTGACTCCATCAGCATGCCGTGCCAAGGCTTCAGAAGTTAGGTTCTTCACCCACTTTGTCCTTGTTTCCTTACTGCTAAGCTTTTCTGTGGGAAAGTTTGCTGCCAAAACAACTCGCACTCCCTAAACATTAATGCCACAGTAAAAGATAAGTAAACGACCTGTTAAGATTCCTGACCAAACAGCTTCTGCCACCATTTCTATTGTATTTCGATCAAAATCAACATGTGCATTTGGTTTCTGGATCAAAAACAGTTTATCAGCTGTAGTAGAGGATTTCTATTTGTATCATATCTCACCTACAATGCTTCATGCATAGAAACGCTTGTAAACGAAGATTTTACGGCCGAGCAATAAAGCAAACAAAGAGCATAACGGTTCCTCACTGAATTTTAGCAAGTTTACTTCAGTATCGAGCTGTTCTCATCGTTGCTCAGTCAATCAGTCTAAACAGAACGTCGAATGAAACAGAGAAATTGTATGGTTAACTCGTTAAAATCACGTAGAGTAAATAACTTGATCAAAAACTAAGCATTTGAAGTTTTCTCAAAGCATTCAAACTCGCTAAGGTTCAAAAACAATTCTACAGTTCAGTAATGTTTTGGTTCTCGGAAAATTCCATGCAAATGAAGTCACAGGCTGTCATAACCCTTGGAACACGACCCGACGAGTCTTTGTCCCAATAAAATGCTTCCTTGAGTTTCTTATCAGACTTTTTTAAAGATTGACAAAGACTTGCAAGAAACCAGGTAAATAAATCGCTGGAACACTTACTCTTTTGTGAGCTTCGCACATCAGCTCATCATCCCAGGGTCGAAAGAGCGCGATCGTCGTCACTTTCCCCCAATCGTATTTTCTCCAATCGTTCGACTTCGTGGAAAACATCAGGAATTCATTTCCTGGCGGTCTTGAGATTGTGTCACATAATGACGGATCTTCGCAAGGGCATTTTCCACAAACAACGAAAGAAATGTCGCCACAAAGCAGGAGGACGAACGCGAAAAACCAGGCCGCCATGACTGAGTTTGACAGGGACAATTTTTTACAGTCGAGATGTCAGCCACACGATGGGAGACTGGTAAACGAGAAAGATGATTGTTTTTTTTCGGTGTCATGTGATCGTCTTCTCGTAATGACTTCTCAAGCGTGACGTTATTTATTCCCATGAATCGTCTGAAGTTTCAGTAGAACATCAATTCACTTTAGTCGCCACAGTCTGATATAAGTTGATTAATCTCGAATAAAGTGGACAAAAAATTTCAGCCGATGTGGAACACAGACCAAACAGTTCTCAGAACTGGGAATATCAACTACATTGAAATTGTAAATTGACCACCGTAAAGAGTTGAAAAGCTGACGTTTCGAGTGTTAGCCCTTCTTCAACGCTCGAAACGTCAGAAGGGCTAACGCTCGAAATATTACCAAATTTCCTTGTTACCCCAACCGACGCAGCCCCACAGTTTCTTTAGAAACTTACCCCCTTAGTTCTAGAACTGCACTACTCCATTCATCAACGGATACTACAGTTACCAGGCGTTACCAGCGTAACACTAAAGCTCTTAGAAATACTCTTAAATTAGCTATATGTAACTTCTATACAATAGAGAATATATTCTGCTAATTGAAAAATAAAAATAAACTCACAAAATGATAACTGAGCATATTTAAGCAGCTTAAGATTGTTTGTTGCCCATGATACACTCCATTTGTCACCAAAATTTTCTTTTCTAGTCTATTGTTAGGATTACGGGCCCCAAAAGAATTAAGGTAGCCAATTTTCATTATCTCAGTTGATAAAGCCAAATTATCGTTGTAAAAATATCGATGAATTTGAAGAAGGCTGCGATAATTTGCGACAAGCTCCATAAGTTTTGGACTTCAGGCTTAAAAACGGCGTCGTGTATCGTTCGCAAACAAGCTAATTAATTGAGCATGTAAGCTAAAATCCCTAAGCAATCTCTTCTGAATGCCTTTTTGTCCAAGCATGAATGTATTTTTACTGGCAAGAGGAAAACCAACCTGCAGCACGCACGGTAGTCTGTTGGTATTAAATTACTTGTATATAGTGAGCTGACATATGCAATTTTGGCGGGCGAGTACTCTGTATGATTTAGTGAAAATTATAGCTGCCACCTTTGATTTTTAAAGCAGCGAAGGCTGGGAAGGAAAGAAATTTGTATCAATGGGGTGAGCAACGGTCAACTTCCAAAATCTTGAACCTTTTTCAATTTCCCTTAGAGAATCGAGTTGTCTTAAGTCGAAAGTAACACTCCTTTCCCATTCTCTATAGATGTGGTCATGTTTTGAAAAATGTTTGTCAGTTCAGCTATGATTGGAAACTTCCGAATCACACTTCCGCCCATTGGGTCAACATGATCTGGTTTTACTACATGACTCGGGCAGTCAGAGGGCCAATAACTAAAATCAACCAATCAAAATGCTCTATTGCCGGTCGATATTCTCTCAATATTGGACCGGGCACTGTCCCGAATGGTCCCGAATGATACCGCACTTGTGTCCCTTTGAACTTCAGTCGTATAATAAATCTCTTACTAACCAAGCTTTCTCGGGACCGTACAGGAGGAATATCGGTCCTCGGTCTTTTTGTACAGACCTCGCTACGCTCGGTCCACATTGTCAAGACCTCGGGCCGATATTCTCCCAGTACGGCCCTCGCGCTTGGTTAATAAGATATGAATATTAGCGGCTTTCGTCGAACCTAGTTTCAGCAGGGTGGAGAGAGGTTTGGCAATGAAACGAGCGGGTCCGAGCGAAACAGGTGTAATGCAGTCGACTGGGACCGACTTCTACCTTCTTCTTCTTAGTGATAATAATAATAATAATAATAATGATAATAATAATAATAATAATAATAATAATAATAATAATGTGTGGTAGCCTCTAATCAGTATGCACTAGCGGTCCTTAAGTACCCCATGTGGACGCAGCACTGGCCGCTGACAGAACTAAGGAGAATTGATCGGGAAGCGCGGAAAATCATGGTAACAAATGGAGGAAAACACCCAGCGTCATCGACCGCTTTATTGTACGTGTCGAGGAAGAAAGGTGGACGTGGCCTGCAGTCCGTAGAGGGAAAATACAAGATCACGAAGATTAAGGCAGTAATGAAACTGTACTCAAACAGCGACCCTAGTATGAAAAAGGTAAGAGAGTTTGAAGAGCGCGCTGCTGCGTTGGGATATCAGTCACTCATTACAGAGGCCATGAGGTATAGTGAAGAACTTGGACTGACGTTGAGGCTTGTATACCCGAAACCAACGTTATGTGAAGCTGCTGGAGAGGAGGTGACTGCGACAAAGGCAAAGCAGCTGCTAAGATCAAAGTATGAAGAACAGTTGTTGAAGATAGTGCGTGACGAAGCATGGCAAGGAAAGTTGCATACAGCAAGATGGAATGATGATAGCGTGTGTAATAACAACTGCTTTTCATGGTTAAGCGATTGGACATCACGCCCCACGTTTGTTGTGGCCGGCATGTATGAACTGTATGAACAGCTTCTACCAACGAAGTTATACCAAGTTAAGAAGATTAAGACATCACAGTCAAGTAACATGTCCTGCAGTATGTGCAATAAGGCACCGGAAAGCTTAGCTCACGTATTATTGGGATGTTCAGTCCTCGCCCAAAACAAGTATTTGGCAAGACACAGCAATGCGCTGAAAGTACTATATTTTGAGTTGCTACGAGAGCTAAAACTGGTTGAAGGTCCTCCTGCATGGTATTCGCCAATCAAGCTTAAACCAGAATACGTCTCGGAGGATGTCCAAGCATTGTGGGACATACTTAACAAATGGTAAACACCACAGCGTACACTATTGAGTTATGGATGTACGCGGGAGGTTGCTAAGCACGAAAGAAGCGTAAGAGTCGCTCGAGGCGATAGCCGAGAGCGACTCTAGCTTCTTGAGTGCTTAGCAAACCTCCCAAGTGCATCCATAACTCAATAGTGTACGCTGTGGTGTTTACCATTTGTTTTATAACATAACATTGATACATTGTAGCTAAAGAGTTCCCTTTTATTTAACAAATCTTACGTGACCAGAAAAAACAAGCGCGCGCGGAAAAATAGTCTTTGCATTTGCTCACGTCAGCAGCGTACACCCATGGGCAAATGGGGGACGCTAAATTGACCAATCAGAGCGCGCGCTTTACTTTGGTTATGTTATAACAACTTATGGGGACAACCAGGAACTGCAAGCTAACAGAATCGATGCAAAGATAGTGAACCATAAAAGTAAGGAAGTAGTAGTCTTGGAGATGAGTTGTCCATGGATTGAGAACAGAGGAAAGAAAGATGAAGAGAAGTCAGTAAAGTATGGTCCACTACGATGGGAGTTACAAGAACGGTACCCTGGATATACAGTCCAGCAGCGCAATATTATCATGGACGTGCTTGGGGGTTGGTCAAGGACTATGGAAGAGGGATTACGGAAGTTGTTGGGAAAAAAGACAAAAGATGTGCTACGAAACATGCAGAAGTCTGTAGTGTCAAGTATGTTGAATATTGCCAAGACTTTTAAGATGATAACATGAACAGTAAAACTACAAAAGAAACTTTTGAGAGGTTGAACATGATAAGAACATTATATAAGCATGAAGTTTATTCCTACGTATGCATATTAATTTGAAGGATAGTTTTAAACATTGAAGGAAATTTAAATATTGAGTTCCGTATATTAGAAGATTAATCGACTTATGTAGAGAATTTAGTTTATAAGTTTTACAGTAATCTTATTCACAGAACGTGACTTAGTTGTTATGTATATTAATAATAGATTGTAAATTAGCGATGGTATATTAGTATTAGTTGTATCTTAAATTATTTTCCCTGTCTAGCAAATAGGTTTTTATATTTTTTATAAGTGCAACGATGTGTAGTTTGATAGGTTACGCTGTGCGCCTTGTGAAACTTTCTTTTCCCGGCATGCTGAAGTTCAATAAACTGCGTCATAATAATAACTTTAATCATCCTGATTTCCGGTCAGTCGATCAATAGAGATTGACTGGTATCAATCGGTGACCAGTAAAAAATGCATAAAAGTCACTAAAAAATAAAAAGCATGCAGTTCACGACTGAATAACAAAATCTGTTTAAGAATGACTAAATAGAATCTACGTTTAACTTGTACAAATGTGATTGGAGCTGTCTATGTTCATCAGGTAAGTAAATTTTTTGCCCTTAAACTGTGCAAGTGTTGTGAGCTCACGTATATCTCTTGGCAGTTTGGCCAGGCACTCGCAGCCGAGAACTTAAACGAGGTCTGTCCACATTTAATGTTAACGTGTGGTAGATCTAATAATGTTGGGTCTCTGAAGGATCGGCAACGTCTTTGTGATCGTTTCGTTAAGTAACCTGTCAACTGCTTAGGGCAGTTAATGTTGTTAATAATCCAGTTAAACATACTGTAGCTTGATTAAGAGGCGTCTACTGTGCGGTGATAATAATTGCAATTTAGCGCGCATCTCCTGAGTACATGTTTTATGATCAGCATACAATATCATTAGCATCTCTCGGTTTTGCAGGTGCTCTAAGCGTGGGACATTCACTTTGCTACATTCGCCCCATACAACACAACCATAGTCTAACAAAGGAAGCACAGTCTGCTTGTAAATTCTGAGCAAAATATCGCGACTAAGGAAAGATGAAATTCTGTTGAGCAATTTCAGTTTAGAGTAAACCCTAGATTGTGTATAAGATACATGTTTGCTCCAGGTCAGACAATGATCAATAAAAATTCCTAAGTACAGGGACCGCGCAGGTGGGGGGACTGGGGGGTTGCTGATAAACTGCAACAAGGTATAATTCGAGAGGAAAGCAGACGTTTGACAACTTCAAACTCAAGTAAAACTTTAGCAACTTCCTTTAGATAATATTGATAAATACTAAGCAGGCATGAACTCATTAAGCAAAGTGATAACCATGTCAAAGACTTGCTTAATCATGACACATTATTATAACATAACCAAAGTAAAGCGCGCGCTCTGATTGGTAAATTTAGCGTCCCCCATTTTCCCATGGGTGTACGCTGCTGACGTGAGCAAATTGCAAAGAC